ATTTCTTCTTAGCCCTAGTAGACATGGGCTTTATTTTGGGCCTGGAATGCTGTCGGCCCACACCTTGGCAACACAGCCCAATTCTCTTTATTTTTTACAATTTGTCCACTGTCGAATCATGCAATTCAACTAAAACCTGTATTGATACAAATAGAACTGGGTTGAGCTCATAAAAGATCAATTGTAGCTTTGCTTCTTAGCTTTCCAATGCCTCAAGAATCATCTCAATCCGATGCCTGAAGAAAAAGATATGGTTAAATTACTACAACTTATGCGAATTGTCACTTATTGAAAAATTAATTTCTATCTTAATTTTCACCTACAAACAATGAAATTAATGTAAACGAAGGTGAAACTAAGTTACAAAGGACCTATAAAATTAAATTCTAAGCTCAAAAAGGGTAGATAAATGCATATCAAAATTAAACTCATCAAATAACCCTAAACTTTAAATTCTTGCTTGTCCTCAAGCAAAAGAGAGCTAGAAAAAACCGGAGCTCACATACATTCTTCCCCACACAGATAACACAAGGAGCATCAACATTCAACTCGATTTTTAGTTCAAATTTTAGTAATACCAAGCAAGGGAGTTGATGACTATCACCTTCATATTCATGAATATCTTTAAATAAATCCATGTAAGATTGTAATAAGTATCACTGAAACATGTAACAACGATACCATGTAATTACCCTTTTTTTTCCTTTTTTTTTTTCATTTTGTTCTTTTTCTCTTTTTCTCTTTTTTTTTTTTTTTTCCAGCCATACGACACAATCTTCCTTGAGCTATCACTTATCTTTTGACGTGAATACTAAAATTCGTGATGAAAGCACTCGGTTACTCAATAAGTCATAAATTTAAAGTGTTTTGCATACTTATATTTCAAGTTACCGTTTGATGTGAAAGTTGACATGGGTCTCATGTCTAACCCTCAATTACTAAGCACTTAGAAACATTGGAGTAGAAATTATTAAACTTTTTTGTATGCTGGCTTATCCCCTTTTTTTTTTCTTGTCAAGTTTCCTTAGGCTTTCTAAGTTATCCATGTAATGAGCTTTTTGCCAATGACTCCCAAACCAGTTGGCTTTCGGGCATTAGGTGAAGAGACACCCCTAAGAGTATACTTACTCAAGTAACAAAGGCCACAAAACATTTGACTTTTTTTTTTTTTTTTTGGAAGTAGTTTCAAGGGATAATTAGACAGGATAGTCATCACAGAAACAATGGCACCTACTCACAAGATGCATATAATTTCCAACCAAACAATTATAAAATCAAAGCTCTCAACTCCTCTCATCAAGGTATTACTAAATTTTGACCTAATCATCAAAGAACAGTATCCCTTACTTGCAACATCTATGCAACAAAATATGTATAGACTCATTTGACTATATTCACTCCATGCTAGAAAATTAGATTCACACGCATGCATCCAATACTCTAAATCTTCAAACCACAACAAAAGCAAAAACACAAAAATATCCTCCCCCAAACTTAAAATTAACATTGTCCTCAATGTAAAAAATAAATAAATGAATAAGAGAAGAAAAACAATACTCCGCTATCTTGCTCTTCCTGCTGTGGACATGCAATGTGTTCCTGTAGAGCCAAAAAGTCTTGTTGTAGGTGCCTAAGATGCTACAAGCACAATAAAAAGCTAACCCAGCCAAAAACTCAAGCAAATTAGTAAAAAGAAAATGAATACAAGAATTAAATAACTCAATGCAAAACAGAAAAATGTCAAATAACAGTTTTTTTTTTTTTGTTTTTTGTGATGGGTTGCCTCCCATTAAGCGCTTCTTTATAGTCATTAGCTTGACTATCACTGCAAACAGAAGCAAGAACACAAAAATATCCTCCCCCAAACTTAAAATTAACACTGTCCTTGATGTAAAAAATAAATAAATGAATAAGAGAAGAAAAACAATACTCCCCTATCTTGCTCTTCTTGCTGTAGACATGCAATGTGTTCCTGTAGAGCCAAAAAATCTTGTTGTAGGTGCCTAAGATGCTGCAAGCGCAATAAAAAGCTAACCCAGCCAAAAACTCAATGCAAATTAGTAAAAAGAAAATGAATAAAAGAATTAAATAACTCAATACAAAACAAAAAAATGTCAAATAACAAAAAAAATTTTTTTTTTGATGGGTTGCCTCCCATTAAGCGCTTCTTTATAGTCATTAGCTTGACTATCACTGCAAAATGGTTAAGGATTTTTTAATAAAATTGTGGAGTTAAATGTAGGAAAATTACCACCTTCAACATAAATTTTCAACCTTTGCCCATTCACTTTAAAAGTTCCCTTAGTATCATGTGAAATCTCAACAACTCCATAAGGAAAAACCTTATTCACCATGAAGGACCACTCCATCATGGTTTCAACTTACCTGGAAAAAGTCGCAATCGAGAATTGAAAAGAAGAACCTTGTCACCTAAGTGAAACTCTTTCTTTTGCACATGTAGATCATGCCATGCCTTGGTTCGTTCCTTGTAAATCTTGGCATTTTCATAGGCAGCAAGTCGTAGTTCTTCCAATTCATTCAATTGCAATTTTCTATGTTCACCTGCATCTTTCAAATCAAAATTCAAGTATTTAATAGCCCAATATGCCTTATGCTCAAGTTCCACAAGAAAATAACAAGCCTTACCAAAAACTAACCTATAAGGAGACATACCTATCGGAGTTTTATAAGTTGTCCTATAAGCCCAAAGTGTATCATTTAATTTGAGTGACCAATCTTTCCTAGACAAGTTAACTGTCTTTTCCAAAATTCTTTTCAATTCCCTATTTGACGCCTCAACTTGCCTACTTGTTTGAGGGTGATATGGAGTAGCAATTTTATTGGTAACACCATATTTAGCCAATAAATTTTCAAATTTCTTATTACAAAAGTGTTTACTTCAATCACTAATGATAGCCCTAGGTGTGCCAAATCTAGTGAAAATATTACTCTTAAAAAATTTAACAACCACCCTAGCATCATTAGTAGGACATGCAACAGCCTTTATCCATTTACTCACATAATCTACCGCAACAAGAATATACTCCTTACCAAAAGATGAAGGAAAAGGACCCATGAAATCTATGCCCCAAACATCAAATATGTCACACAATAAAATATTGGTCAAAGGCATTTCATGTCTCCTAGAAATATTACCAGTTCTTTGGCATTGGTCACATGCACTCACATAAGCATAAGCATCTTTAAATAAAGAAGGCCAATAAAATCCATGTTGCAAAACCTTAGATGCTGTGTTGGAGGCACCAAAATGACCACCAGCTTCTTTGTCATGACAAAAACTCAAGATTGCATCTACCTCTTCTTGTGGTACACATCTTCGAATCATTCCATCGCCACATATCTTGTAAGGAAATGGTTCCTCCCACAAATAATGTTTAATATCAGAAAAGAACTTTTTCTGTTGAAAAAATAAGTTAGGAGGTAAAACATTACTCACAAGATAATTAACAAAATCTGCATACCAAGGTAAAGAAGAAAGAGCACACAAAGAAACTAAACATAATTGCTCATCTGGAAACTCATCAAGCAAAAGTTGATCATCCCCACATTCCACATGCCCCTCATCTAACCTGGATAAATGATCAACAACAGGATTTTCTACACCTTTTCTATCCCTAATTTCTAAGTCAAACTCTTGCAGCAACAAAATCCATCTCAACAACCTAGGTTTGGCATCTTTTTTAGCACGCAGATATTTAAGTGCAGAATGATCAGTATAAACAATCACCTTGGACAAAATTAGATAAGGCCTAGACTTTCAAAAGCAAACACCACAGCAAGCAACTCTTTTTCAGTAGTAGTATAATTCTTTTGAGCATCATTCATTGTTCTACTTGCATAATAAATTGTGTGAAATTTTCTATCTTTTCTTTGTCCTAAAACTGCACCTAAAACATCATTTCTAACATCACACATTATCTTAAAAGGTAAATCCCAACAAGGTGCAACAACAATAGGAGCATTAACCAGTTTCTCTTTTAACAATTGAAAAGCATTCATACAATCATCATCAATGAAAAATGGTGTTTCCTTAACCAAGAGATTAGTAAGAGGCTGAGCAATTTTTGAGAAGTCCTTAATAAATCTCCTATAAAAACCAGCATGTCCAAGAAAACCTTTAACTTCTTTAATTGATTTAGGAGGAGCAAGCTTTTCAATTATCTCAACTTTAGCTCTATCAACTTCAATACCCTTAGAGGCTACTTTATGACCTAGCACTATACCTTCCCTAACCATAAAATGGCATTTTTCCCAATTCAATACTAGGTCAGTTTCCTCACATCTTTTAAGCACCCTAGACAGATTATGTAAGCACGCATCAAATGAAAAGCCAAAAACTAAAAAATCATCCAAAAAAATTTCCATGAACTCATCAACAAATTCAGCAAATAAAGACATCACACATCTTTGAAACGTACCTGGAGCGTTACACAAACCAAAAGGCATTCGTCTAAAAGCAAAAGTACCATATGGGCAGGTAAATGTTGTTTTTTCTTGGTCTTCTAGAGCAATAGGAATTTGATGATAACCAGAATAACCATCCAAAAAACAATAATATTCATGTCCAGCAAGTTTCTCAATCATTTGATTAATAAATGGCAGTGAAAAATGATCTTTCCTAGTAGCTTCATTAAGTTTCCTATAATCTATACACACTCTCCACCCTATTATTATTCTAGTGGGAATTAATTCATCATTTTCATTTTTTACCATAGTTGTCCATCCCTTTTTAGGCACTACTTGCACAAGACTTACCCAAGTCCTATCAGAGATGGGAAAAATAATACATGCATCCAACCATTTGATTACCTCCTTTTTTACCATTTCTTGCATGTTAGGATTAAGGCGTCTTTGTGGCTGAACAATCAGCTTGTGCCCCTCCTCCAACAGAATTTTATGCATGCAAACCAAAGGGCTAACCCCTTTGATATCCGCTATGCTCCATCATATGGCTCATTTATGTTCTCGCAACACTCTTAAGAGTTTCTCCTCCTCAATTCCTGTCAAAGAAGCAGAAATTATTACAGGTAAGGTATTTGCATCACCTAAATAAACATACTTTAATTGAGAAGGAAGAGGTTTTAATTCAAGAGTATAAGGCTCTTCTTTGGATGGCTTGACGCTCATAGTAGATGGTGCATCTAGGGGTAGAAAATTCCCTCCTTTTTGTTGCTACCTATGGCATTTTCCCCCAAGAATAGCTGCTGCCTCCAAAATGTTATTGTCTGCACTATCAGCTTTCACATCCAAAGCATTAACAATGCAATTATCAATAGGATCATCTAATCTAGAAGCATTAAACTTTTTAGTCACTAAATTATCTACCACATCAATCCTTAAAACAACACTTCCATCATGACCACAATTTTTCATAGCATCCAACACATTAAAAACAACCTCCTCATCATGTATTCTAAGACTAAGTGACCCTTGTTGAACATCAATAAGAGCTCTACCAGTAGCAAGGAATGGTCTCCCAAGAATTAAAGGCATTTCAAAATCCTCTTCCATGTCAAGAACAATAAAATCAATAGAGAAAATAAATTTATCAACTTTTACCAAAATATCCTCTACCACTTCTCTTGGATATTTAATGCTTCTATCTGCCAATTGAAGAGAAACTGTCGTAGGTGAAGGTTCTCCTAATCCAAGTTTTCTAAATACATGAAAAGACATCAAATTAATACTAGCACCCAAATCACATAAAGCCTTATCAAAATTAACATTGCCAATAATACAAGGTCTAGAAAAACTCCCTAGATTCTTCAACTTAGGAGATAACTTATTCTGAAAAATGGCAGAGCATTCTTTATTTAACTTCACCATCTCGAACTCCTTTAACTTCCTTTTATTGGCAAGAATCTTCTTCAAAAATTTTGCATAACTTGGCATTTGCGAAATAGCATCAATAAGAGGAATATTAATATGTAACTTTTTAAACACCTTTAAAAATTTAGACAACTGCTTGTCTAAATTAGCTTGCAAAAATCTTTGAGGAAAAGGGATTTTGGGCTTATAAGGCTTGACATTCAGATCATGAAACAGTCTTTTAGGCTCCTCCTCTTGGTTTGATTCACCAACTTCCACACCTTCTTCTTTCCCATCAAATTGTCTTACCTCTTTAAGTTCTTTTCCACTCCTCAAAGTGATAGCCTTCAATTGCTCCCTTGGATTCTTTTTACTATTGCTTGGCAAACCCCCTTGAACTCTTCCAGAAACCATATCAGCAATCTGTCCAAGTTGCGTTTCTATATTCCAAATAGTAGCATCATGATTTTGAAACCTTATTTCTTGATTTTGAAACCGTGCTTCTGTACTACTAACAAATTTATGCACCAACTCCTCTAAATTTGGTTTCTTTTCTTGTTGATTTTGTTGCTGAAAACTTGGTGGTACTCTAACTTGATTATTACTTCATGAAAAATTAGGATGGCTCCCTCATCCTAGATTGTAGGTATTGGAGTATGGATTAAAATTAGACCTACCACTAGAAGAAACAAAATTAGATTGCTCATTAGAAGATTAAACTAAATTGTCTACTTGACATTCAACACTAGCATGACCAAATTGCCCACACAATTCACAGCAACTATTAGATGAAATTCTCATTGCTAACGCTCCTAAACTATCTCACTTTTTAGTCAAAACAGAAATTTGAGCAGATAAGGAAGTAAAAGCATCAATATTATGTAAACCAACTCCCTTTTTGGTAGCTCTATCATTAGTCCATTAATAGCTATTAGAGGCCATTTCATCCAACTGCTTATAACCTTCCTCCGTTATCTTATTCATAAGATTACCCCCTGCAGCTGCATCAATTATAGAACGATTAGGAGGAGTTATCCCATTATAAAAAGGCTGCACTTGGAGCCAAACAAGTAAACCATGATTTGGACATTGCCTAAGCAATTCCTTAAATCTTTCTCATGCCTCATATAATGACTCATTATCAAATTGAAAAAAAGTAGTAATGTCATTTCTCATCTTAGCTGTTTTTGAAGAAAGACAAAATTTAGCTAAGAATTTTTCTACCAAAACATCCCATATGGTAAAATGACCTACAAGAAAAGATTTAAGCCAACTCTTGGCTTTCTCACGCAAAGAAAATGAAATTAATGTAAGCCTAACAGCATCATTACTAACACCATTAGACTTAAAAGTATCATAAATTTCAAGAAAATTACCAATATGCAAATAAGGATTTTCATTAGACAAACCACTGAATTGAACAGTTTGTTGGACCATTTGAATGATAACTAGTTTGATTTCAAAATTATTGGCTTGAATCGCTAGCCTCCTAATGCTGGATGCTATTCCTTCAATGGATGGGGTGGCATACAAACTAAGAGTGCGTGCATTATTTTGTCCTTCACCTTCTTTTGCCATGATGTTTTGCTCTTGCTCTCTTAAAAACTCCCTAAAAGTTCTCTCAATTTTAGGGTAAAATGGGACAAGGTCACCACCACTACTACGGGTCATGCACTACTATTCTTGCAAAATAAAAAATAAAAATAAAACCTAAGATAAATAAAGAATAAAAACGAAAAACAAATTAGACTGTAAAATGTGCAAATCAACTACTAATTGCTTAAAACAAAAAGAACCAATTAATCAAGTCTAGAAAAAGAAAAAAAAATCAATCTAAGGCCAAATTATTAATCTTAATATGTAGATGACTAGTCCTCGGCAATTGCGCCAAAAACTTGATGCACTAAATACACATTACTTTTAGGCAAGTGACCCTAATCGATTCTGCAATATAAGATGAGTAAAATATCGTTACTTCGAGGACTATCCTACACAACCAAGACAATATTAATCTAACCTAAGTTGAATTAACCAATTAATGGAGTAAAATTAAACTATTTAAAAGAAAAATACTTAAACTGAAAGAATTAAACTAAAGGAATTTTCTAAGTTAAGAAACTATGAATTGGAAGCAACTAGGATTTAGATTTCATTTAATTCTGAATTATGTAACTAATTAATTAATTTAATTCAAGCTCAATTAATAGTATTGTCGCATGAGATAACGAATTTCCCTAAATCAATTAACCAGCTTTCTCAAGTCAAACTAATCCTTCATTTATTTGCTAAATTAATTATATCTCTATGTAATTTTAAACAAACTAATAAGCATTAAATTCTATGGAAACCTCTAGTTTAAGAAGGGGAGCTACTAACTCTCTTCTCTTCCTCCACCACTACCACATGTGAACTAATTACCTTTCGATCTTATAGTCTAACACACAATTTATATTATTATTGGTTTAATTTACGTAATTCTTTCTCAAGTTCATGCATAAATCACTAAATCAATCGAAAGGTGATCAGACTTCTAATGCATTAAGTTTAATAATATAAACTCATCATGTAAATAACTAATAAATCTTGAATTAAACTAAAAAGAACAGTCACATAATCCAAAAATTAAAATCCATCCATCCTTAGTTCAAAGAAATCTAGCCACACATATTTATGTTCTCAACAGCTATAATTCGATAATCCCAGCAGACTATCATGATAAAAAATTCAAGTTAAGAATCAACAACACCCGTCCAATGAAGAACAAGCCAAACTCGTGCTGCTGTCCCTCCCAAACAAAGCTGGCAGAGAAGAACAGAGGCTAGTCGACGGCGTTGGCTCTTTCACGAACAGATTTGGGTGGGCGTTCTCCCTTCTGTGAAAAGTAGATTCGGCTGTGGGGCTGTCTTCTTGTGCAGATGCCAACAAATTGGGTGGTCTCTTTTTGCGTACAAATTTGGGGTTTTTGCTTTCTCCTATGTGCAGAGCAATTTCGAGGCTTCTTGCTTTTTCACTTTTTGGTGTGCCGAGCAGCATATATATAAAATTAGAAACCCTTATTTCTTCTTAGCCCTAGCAGACATGGGCTTTATTTTGGGCCTGGAATGCTGTCAGGCCACACCTCGGCAACACAGCCCAATTCTTTTTATTTTATGCAATTTGTTCATTGTCGAATCATGCAATTCAACTAAAAATCTATATTGATACAAATAGAATTGGGTTAAGTTCATAAAAGATCAATTGTAGCTCTGCTTCTTAGCTTTCCAAGCCTCAAGAATCATCTCAATCGGATGCCTAAAGAAAAAGATATGGTTAAATTATTATAGCTTGTGCGAATTGTTACTTATTGAAAAATTAATTCCTATCTTAATTTTCACCTACAAACAATGAAATTAATGTAAACCAATATGAAACTAAGTTACAAAGGACCCATAAAATTAAATTTTAAGCTCAAAAAGGGTAGATAAATGCATATCAAAATTAAACTCATCAAATTCCGTTAGTCAGTTAACGGAATGTTTGTCAAGTAGACAATTTTGAAACAAAATTGATAATTTATAGATTATTTTAAAAGAAAAAATTATTTTTAAACTAAACTAAAATAAATGACATACTTAATAGAGTATTTATTAAATTTAATCCTTCCTTTTCCCTTTTGGTCTTGATATATAAAATCATTCTAAAGCAAATCTACATGGTCTACTACATATTTAGAGAACATCTCAGAACCAGATCAAGAGGAAGCAATCAACAGCACATGCTTAGTTACAAACTCTGTAAGTATTTACTTC